GCTCTTATAAGGCGTGGATTTTTTAAAGAATATTTTTCAAGGCTCTTATAAGGCGTGGATTTTTTAAAGAATATTTTTCAAGGCTCTTATAAGGCGTGGATTTTTTAAAGAATATTTTTCAAGGCTCTTATAAGGCGTGGATTTTTTAAAGAATATTTTTCAAGGCTCTTATAAGGCGTGGATTTTTTAAAGAATATTTTTCAAGGCTCTTATAAGGCGTGGATTTTTTAAAGAATATTTTTCAAGGCTCTTATAAGGCGTGGATTTTTTAAAGAATATTTTTCAAGGCTCTTATAAGGCGTGGATTTTTTAAAGAATATTTTTCAAGGCTCTTATAAGGCGTGGATTTTTTAAAGAATATTTTTCAAGGCTCTTATAAGGCGTGGATTTTTTAAAGAATATTTTTCAAGGCTCTTATAAGGCGTGGATTTTTTAAAATATTTTTCAAGATAAGGCGTATTTTTCAAGGCTCTTATAAGGCGTGGATTTTTTAAAGAATATTTTTCAAGGCTCTTATAAGGCGTGGATTTTTTAAAGAATATTTTTCAAGGCTCTTATAAGGCGTGGATTTTTTAAAGAATATTTTTCAAGGCTCTTATAAGGCGTGGATTTTTTAAAGAATATTTTTCATTTTTTTTTAAAGAATATTTTTCAAGGCTCTTATAAGGCGTGGATTTTTTAAAGAATATTTTTCAAGGCTCTTATAAGGCGTGGATTTTTTAAAGAATAATATTTTTTTTAAAGAATATTTTTCAAGGCTCTTATAAGGCGTGGATTTTTTAAAGAATATTTTTTCAAGGCTCTTATAAGGCGTGGATTTTTTAAAGAATATTTTTTCAAGGATCTTATAAGGCGTGGATTTTATCAAGGATCTTATAAGGCGTGGGTTATTCAAGGCGTGGATTTTATCAAGGATCTTATAAGGCGTGGATTTTTTAAAGAATATTTTTTCAAGGATCTTATAAGGCGTGGATTTTTTAAAGAATATTTTTTCAAGGATCTTATAAGGCGTGGATCGGTGGCGTAGGGGATGATATATACTAAGCAACGGCTCTGATTGGCTTTAATATGGCGAAGTCCAGGCTTATCTTGGTACCTCTTTCATCTCAATTGTGGACTTTGACCTCCCCGGGGTGCCTTCTTGTATCAAATAGTAGCGGTGAAGTAGATACCCCAGAACCAATAAGAGATCATGGTATAGAGTGTATACCACCTAGCCAAGATGAGGTCAAAAAAACAATTAATCGGCTCAAGAACAATAAAGCAGCAGGATTGGAACATCAGCATCCTGTGTCTCGTGCACAAAAAAGGAGACAAGACGATATGTGCCAACTATAGAGGAGTAAGTCTCCTTCCCATCGCATATAAAGTGATATCCAGCGTACTGTGTGAACGACTGAAGGCAATGGTCAATGACATTATTGGACCATACCAATGCGGCTACAGACCTGGCAAATCCACGCCAACTCCTGGAAAAGACCCACGAAAAACACATCGTCACATATCACCTATTCGTCGACTATAACGCCGCATTCAGAGCTTTTTAAAGCCATGCCTGCGTTCGGCATTCCTGCAAAATTAATGCAGGATAACTTTAAGTGGCACAAGGTCAGCAGTTAAAGTCGGAAAGAACCTATCGGAGCCCTTCAATACCGAACGCGGATTCAGACAAGGTGACAGTTTGTCGTGTGATCTTTTTAACATCCTATTGAAAAAGATCATACGAGACTCAATGGTGAACAGAAATGGCACGTTGATGGTATCAATGCGCAAGACGTCCAGTAGACTCGGACCAACAGTGGAACTTGAGAACTACAGCTTCGAGGTAGTTAAAGATTTATATAGCTTGGTACCACCATAAATAAAAAGAATGACATCAGATTTGAAATTCGGAGAAGATGCTACTATGGTCTAAGTAAGCAGTTTAGAAACAAGGCCACTTCCCGCCAGACCAAACTCACACTTTACAAGACGCTGATACTACTCGTGCTGTTATATGGACCTGAAGCATGGGTACTTGTGCCAGCAGATGAGGCTTTGCCGTTGGGGTGTTTGAAAGAAAAATTCTCCGAAAGATCTACGGGCCCATCTGCGCCGACGGTGAATATCGGCGTCGAATGAACCACGAGCTCTACAATTTATACGCGGACATCGACATAGTCAGTCGTATTGAGCAGCAGCGACTACGGTGGTTAGGCCATGTTGTGCGAATGAATGAGAATGCCCCAGCTCAAAAGGCATAGTCTACTGATGCTTCCCGTAGAAGGGGAAGGCCACGAATTATATGCAAGTAGAAAACAACATATTGGAACGTGGTCCTCCAAATTGGTGGAGATGAACACAAGAATGACGCGCTTGAAAATCTTTTTTATGCTCGGCTTATGGAACAACCGTTCTGTAGCAAGCCAGCTAAGTAAGTAAGTTTTATTTCCCTTGTAGGTTTGAAAAATAATTAATAATTTTTAAAAAATTTCGATGATATTATCGCGTAGTTCATTTCATTTAACTGTTTATTGGTCCTGCAGGATTTACAACATTGTAGCAGACTTGTATGTAGGTATGAATTTGAGTTTATTACTTTCATTGAAATCAGTGGAATTTTTTCAGACGAACAACATGGTTGGGAGAAAATATATTCCGGATTTATTTCTAATTGTTGGTAAGAAATGCAAAATGTTGCTAATGGCGCCCAATTATGGAAATAGTATTGGGAAACCATATTTCTTAATTCAAACTAAATATTTATTTGCAATAAAAATTTACATAGCGTTGCTATGGAAAATTAAGCCAAATGGTAAGTAAGTTCGGATTCATGGTACTGAATGGAAATAAAAAAAATCATGGATTAAATTTCCCCTCAACACTGAAGCTGCCCTTATGCCCAACAGGGTGCGTTGTGATGGAAAACACACTCTGCCGATAGAAAAACCTGAAATTCAGTATCAAGTATTTTCACCATTACTCTGTCAGAAGTGTAATGCAACATCGCAGGGTGGAGTTCTAACAAATGATGGGGATACATTAATAATCGATTTGATCTATGACGATAAAAACAATATACCAATACTTAGCAATGGACCCCTAAAGGGCAAGGGTATATATCGTTTTAAGAGTATTTATTTAAATTGGATAGGGCGGACCGAAGAGGAATGGAATTTTAATAATATTACATTTCCCGGAGAGTTACACATAATATTCTTTAATACAAAATATGGAACATATGAAAAGGCAGTGGAACAAGATGAAGCGGTGGCCATATTGTCGATGATATTCAGGGTGAATTGCAATCCAAAAAATTGCTAAATCAAAATTAAAATAAAAAAATATTTCAGGTCAGACCCTATGCTCCATGTACAGGATTTCTACCAGCAATAAATTCTTATTTAAAAAACGTCATTAACTTGAAGACGACTACCACAATACCACCTGGAATTAATTTAAAACTCGATGATTTCCTACCACAATCCCTAAATTATTATTACACCTATATGGGAAGTAATACCTCCAATATGGCACAATTGGATAATACTTGCAAAGCAAAAATAATATATATCGATATGGAGCAGCCACTAAAAATACATCCGAATCAGGTACGAATTTAACTTAGAAATCATATCTAAAAAAAATTTGAACTTCTTTTTAGGTACACGAATATGAAAAATTATTGACCTATTCTGGACGAACTCAAATGTTTTCATTAATAGACTATTATGGACCCATAGGTCATGTAATCTACAGATCATTAACTCCGACAAATGATAGTGGTATCGAGAGCCGTGCATTTATGCAATTTGATATATCGATTTTTTTGTATGCTAATATATGATATATCTATTTTGTTTAATAGTCTTTTCTTTTTGTGAAAACTATATTTCAGGCGTAAATATATAATATCATATTTTAATATATATAGGCTCCATGTTATATTTTTCAGGGCTAATATCAGGCGTGGATTTTTTAAGGAATATTTTTTCAGGCTCCATTATAAGTCATGGATTTTTAAAGAACATTTTTTCAGGTTTCGTTATAAGGCGCGGATTTTTAAAGAATATTTTCTCCTTACTCAACTGCTTGACGAAATCACCCCTTGTCCCGATAATAATATAGAAACACAATGGCAAAGAATTGCCGACTTCCTACAAACTGCAGCAAAAGCAACACATGGGTACCAAAGACCACCATCAAGAAATCCGTGGTACGATCAGGAGTGTCGTAATGCTACTGATATGAAAAACGCAGCGTATAGAGCAACCCTGCGGACAGTAGCAACACGTAATGCGATGGAGAACTATCGGGAGAAAAGGAGAGAGGAGAAACGTATTTTCAGAAACAGAAGAAAGAACAAGAAAAACCTGAGCGTGAGCAAATCGAGATGTAGTCAGAATAAAGTCCGAAAATTCTACCAACGGGTAAAACACCAAACTGAAGGCTTTGGTGCAGGCACATCCTCCTCCGCGGTGCCACCTGGGGAGCTCTTCTCATCACCCGATGAAATGGTGAGCTAATATGTGCCGCGAGTTCACCCATAAGAACTATATAAAAATGGGTTGAGGCGTCGGGTTAGTTCCCCACTCTCGGAAAACCCAACCTACTATGAAAAAGCTAAGAAAAAGAAAAGCAAACCCCCCTAATGTTGACGACCCCCGCAAACGTATAAAGGACCACGATCTGCGAATCTGCACTTGGAATGTGCGCACGTTGTACAGAACAGGCGCAGTGTTCGCTTTGGCGGATATACTCAAGAAGTACAAAGCCGATATTATTTCCTTACAGGAAATGCGATGGAAAGGGACAGGCGTAAGTAAATCAGACGATTACGCCCTGTATTATAGCTGCCATGAAACGAGACATGAATTTGGCTGCGGATTTATGGTTAACAGGAGAATAAAAGACCTTGTCTCCAGATTTACTCCAGTAGATGACCGAATTGCTATAATCCATATAAAAGCGAAGTTCTTTTACACCAGTCTAAATTGCGCCCATGCTCCTACAGACCAAGGACATATTTTACGAGCGCCTAGAAACAGCATATGGCCGTTGCCCTGGCCATGACATTAAAATTTTGCTAGGAGATTTTAATGCAAAAATCGGAAGTGAAAACATCTTTGGCCCCACCGTCGGAAAATTCAGCCTTCATGAAGAAACATCCGACAACGGCAAGATTTTGATTGACTTCGCGGTAGCAAAAAACATGGTAGTTAGCAGCACCAGATTCAAGCATCTCGATATACACAAGGCCACCTGGATCTCTCCTGATCAAGTAACGAGAAATCAAATTGATCATGTTCTGATAGACGGAAGGCATATATCCAGTGTTTTAGACGTCCGATCGATCCGAGGAGTGAATATCGATTCGGACCATTACCTTGTGGCAGCCAACGTACGCACCTGTCTTAATGTTGCAGCAAAGGTGCGATCTAATACAACACGGAAACTCGACGTCAATTTGGCTAGAAGAATGCAGGCCCAATGATTGGAACCTCAACATCCTATGTCCTGTGCACAAAAAAGGAGACAAGACGATATGTGCCAACTATAGAGAAATATGTCTCCTTCCTATCGCATATTAAGTGCTATCCAGCGTACTGTGTGAAGGACTGAAGCCTATGGTCAATAACATTATTGGACCATACCAATGCGGATTCAGACCTGGCAAATCCACCATTGACCAGATTTTCGTTTGGCATTCCTGCAAAATTAATTCGGAGCCCTTTAATACCGAATGAGGATTCAGACATGGTGACAGTTTGTCGTGTGACCTTTTTAACATCCTGCTGGAAAAGGTCATACGAGACGCAAAGCTGAACAGAAATGACACTCTGTACACCAAACAACACATGTTACTCGCCTCCGCCGATGACATCGACATAAGGGGTCGCTCATTAAGAGCGGTAACAGCCACCTTTTAACAAATTGAAAAGGAGTCTGCCAAAGTGGATCTGGCAGTAAACGGCGAAAAGACCAAGCTGATGGTATCAACGCGCACGACGTCCAGTAGACTCGGACCAACTGGGGAACTTGAGAAATACAAGTTCGAGGTAGTCAAAGATTTTATATATCTTGGTGCCGCCATAGATAAAAAGAATGACATCAGTTTTGAAATTCGGAGAAGGATAGTGATGGCCAACCGATGCTACTATGGTCTGAGCAAACAACTCAAAAGCAAGGCCACCTCCCGCCAAACCAAACTCACATTCTACAAGACGCTGATACTACCCGTGCTGTTATATGGATCTGAATCATGGGTACATACGCAAGCAGATGTGGCAGCTCTTGGAGTGTTTGAGAGAAAAATTCTCCGAAAGATCTATGGGCCGATCTGCGTTGACGGTGAATATCGCCGTCGAATGAACCATGAGTTGTACCAGCTATTCTCGACATCGACATTGTCAGACGTATTGAGCTGCAGCGACTACGTTGGCTAGGTCATGTTGTGAGAATGGATGAAGATGCCACAGCCCAGAAGGCATATAAAAGCGAACCAGCTGATGGTTCACGCATAAAGGGAAGGCGACGAATACGATGGAAAATCAAGTCCAAGACAACATTGCCGAAAATGGTCTTTCCAATTGGAAAAACTGGTCAAAAGACCGACTCGCCTGGAAATCTTTTTAAAGCTCGGCTTATGGAATGAAAGTTCTGTCACAAGCCAGCAAAGTAAGTAAATATTTTGCTCCTATTAGTGACAATAAAAGTCTGCCATAATTTCACCCCCTCTGTGTATTTCACAAGGGACTGTCCATTACGAACTGGGCATTTTGAAAATTAAAGTTTCTGTTTTCATTTTGGGTTTATGTTAAATAAATTCAGTTCTGTTACGATTCTCATAGCAAATGGAACACAAATACTTTTGGGGAATAATATTTCTTAAGGGTATGATAGCCATTTTTTTACATCTCCAAACTGGTCTTTACTTTTTTGGAAAAAAAATAAATCCAAATTATATTACAGCATTTGGCCAGCTATTGCGGATATCTGCTGTCGAAGGTATGTTCGTGGAATGTTTTTTTCTAAATATTTCTATAATCAATTACCACTTGTCCTTTCCAATTAGCTGCCATAACATCGGGCCGTGTAATATGTGCTGGAAAACATTTTGTACCGTACTATGAGGATGAGGTTAAATTTGAAAATAAAACATTTCCCCCGTTGCTCTGTGAGAACTGTGATGAACTAATCGAACGTACGGTTGTAATCAATAATGGTAAACAGGTGGTATTCGATGTGACCTATAGCGATACGAAGAAAATACCCACTCTGCGAAATGGGCCTTTGCTGGGAAAGGGGAAATATCGTTTACATGGCATCAACTTCAATTGGCTATATAGTGCACCCGATGAATGGTCATGGAGCAATGTCAGCTTTCCGGCCGAATTACACATTACATTTTACAGTCTGAAGTATGGGAATTTTGAAGCGGCCGTGAATTCGAATGAGGGTATTACCATACTATCGATGATATTTAATGTAAGAGCAAAAGGGTGGATTTTAAAATAAATAATAATACCGGATAGAAATGTATTTCTTTCCTAGGTCCGAAAACAAGCAGAGAAATTTGTACCATCTTTTAAATCAGTAGTACCAGAGATTATTCACTCGCGCAGCAATTTCAATTTCCCCGCCGAGCCACCTATCAAGCTGAGTGATTTCCTACCACAGACACTGGATTATTTCCATACCTATATGGGTACAATGGCAATGCATGATACCCCATGGGAGTCGAAATGCAAGGCCAAAGTAATATGGATTGATGTAGAGGACCCATTAAAAATTCCTCCTGAAGATGTGGGAAATAAAAATTATAATTCGTTTTTTTTTAATAAATAAAATCATAATTTTTTTGCAGGTTTTGGAATATGCAAAGATACGAGATTTCATCACTTTCCCACAATTTCCACACATTGAACGCTACACTGGCCCAAAAACCGTAATATATAGAGCTCAAGTTTCTTATGACAAAAGTTTGCTGAATAAAGGGACCTTACACCTAGAGCGGGAGAAATTGATTATATTATTGAATTTTGTTGTAATGTTTATAGCAAATGGAAAATATAATTATTTGGAAGAATATTGGAATTTTCTATGGAGAAATTTTGAAGGACTTCTAAGGCATTAAACAAATATTTTTAAACGACCTTTAACAACATACGCGTGGTTTTAAAAAAAAATATATTTATATATATAAAGGATCTTTATCACCATAATCTTGGATTTTTAAACAAGCTCTTTTTAGTGGACCTTTAAGACCATAAGTGTGGATTTTTAAAGGATCCTTACTACCATAAGCGTGGATTTTTAAAGGATCCTTACTACCATAAGCGTGGATTTTTAAAGGATCCTTACTACCATAAGCGTGGATTTTTAAAGGATCCTTACTACCATAAGCGTGGATTTTTAAAGGATCCTTACTACCATAAGCGTGGATTTTTAAAGGATCCTTACTACCATAAGCGTGGATTTTTAAAGGATCCTTACTACCATAAGCGTGGATTTTTAAAGGATCCTTACTACCATAAGCGTGGATTTTTAAAGGATCCTTACTACCATACCATAAGCGTGGATTTTTAAAGGATCCTTACTACCATAAGCGTGGATTTTTAAAGGATCCTTACTACCATAAGCGTGGATTTTTAAAGGATCCTTACTACCATAAGCGTGGATTTTTAAAGGATCCTTACTACCATAAGCGTGGATTTTTAAAGGATCCTTACTACCATAAGCGTGGATTTTTAAAGGATCCTTACTACCATAAGCGTGGATTTTTAAAGGATCCTTACTACCATAAGCGTGGATTTTTAAAGGATCCTTACTACCATAAGCGTGGATTTTTAAAGGATCCTTACTACCATAAGCGTGGATTTTTAAAGGATCCTTACTACCATAAGCGTGGATTTTTAAAGGATCCTTACGACCATAAGCGTGGATTTTTAAAGGATCCTTACGACCATAAGCGTGGATTTTTAAAGGATCCTTACGACCATAAGCGTGGATTTTTAAAGGATCCTTACGATCATAAGCGTGGATTTTTAAAGGATCCTTACTACCATAAGCGTGGATTTTTAAAGGATCCTTACTACCATAAGCGTGGATCATAAGCGTGGATTTTTAAAGGATCCTTACGACCATTAGCGTGGATTTTTAAAGGATCCTTACGACCATAAGCGTGGATTTTTAAAGGATCATTACGACCATTAGCGTGGATTTTTAAAGGATCATTACGACCATAAGCGTGGATTTTTAAAGGATCCTTACGACCATAAGCGTGGATTTTTAAAGGATCCTTACTACCATAAGCGTGGATTTTTAAAGGATCCTTACTACCATAAGCGTGGACCTTGGTACCGCCATAAATAAAACGAATGACATCAGATTTGAAATTCGGAGAAGGAGTGTGATGGCCAACAGATGCTACTAGGGTCTAAGTAAGCAGTTTACAAAACAAGACCACCTTCTGCCAGACCAAACTCACACTTTACAAAACGCTGATACTACCCGTGCTGCTATATGGATCTGAAGCATGGGTACTCTCCGAAAGATATACGGGCCCATCTGTGTCGACGGTGAATATCGGCGTCGAATGAACCACGAGCTCTACAATTTATACGCGGACATCGACATAGTCAGTCGTACTGAGCTGCAGCGACTATGCTGGCTAGGCCATGTTGTGCGAATGAATGAGAATGCCCCAGCTCAAAAGGCACATAAAAGCCACCCCACTTATGGTTCCCGTAGAAGGGGAAGGCCATGAATTAGGTGGAAAGACCAAGTTGAAAAATAATTGATAATATTTAAAATTTTTCTATGATCTTATCGCAAAGTTCATTTCATTAATGGCCTTTAACTGTTTATTGGTCCTGCAGGATTTACAACATTGTAGCAGACTTGTATGTAGGTATGAATTTGAGTTTATTACTTTCATTGAAATCAGTGGAATTTTTCTTTAGACGAACACAACATGGTTGTGAGAAAATATATTCCGGAATTGTTTCTAATTGTTGGTAAGGAATACAAAATGTTGCTAATGGCGCCCAATTATGGAAATAGTATTGGGAAACTATATTTCTTAATTCAAACTAAATATTTATTTACAATAAAAATTTACATAGCGTTGCTATGGAATATTAAGCCAAATGGTAAGTAGGATTCATGGTACTGAATGGAAATAAAAAAAAATCGTGGATTAAATTTTCCCCTCAACACTGAAGCCGCCCTTTAGCCCAACAGGGTGCGTTGTGATGGAAAACACACTCTGCCGATAGAAAAACCTGAAATTCAGTATCAAGTATTTTCACCATTACTCTGTCAGAAGTGTAATGCAACAGCACAGGGTGGAGTTCTAACAAATGATGGCGATACATTAATAATCGATTTGATCTATGACGATAAAAACAATATACCAACACTTAGCAATGGACCCCTAAAGGGCAAGGGTATATATCG